CGGGAAGCCTGCTTCTCCCTCTCCCACTCCCCCTGCTTGTGTTCCCTCTCTCGCTGTGTCTCTCTCTGTCAAAATAAATAAATAAAATCTTTTTAAAAAAATGAAAAAGAATAAAGACTCTTTCCCTAGGTGGACCTTGATGACTTCATCAGCACTCTTTGGGGAAAAGCATCCCAGCCCTCCCTGCATAGAACTGTGCTGCCTTCCACCTGCAAGTCCCCTTCCGTCCACAGGGCACAGGGAAATCTTCTCGGCCTCCTGCGGGAGCCCAGGGTGTTCTCCCCTAAACCTGCAATCCACAGGAACCTTGGGAAAGAAGCACCAAGACCATGGGGGGGGGAGGGGGGCTTGCCTTGGTGTGCAACCCAACGTCGCAGCAATCACTTCACGCACCTGCCCAGGTGTTGTTCCATCTAAGGGAACACGTTTAAGGCAGTTTTCCTGCCAACAGTTTTTGTAAAATGCTCCGAGAGAGCATAAGGGCCATGGTCCCAGTGGGTGCAGGATTCAGAAAGGCCTCCAGGTGGTGAGGAAAAGGGCCCAGCCATTAAGCGTCTGCCTTCAGCTTAGGTCGTGATCCCAGAGTCCTGGGATCGAGCCCCACCTCGGGCTCCCGGCTCAACAGGAAGCCTGCTTCTCCCTCGCCCTATGCCCCTCCCCCCCCACTCATGCGCACTCTCTCTCTCTCTCTCAAAATCTTTTAAAATGGGGGGGGGGGCAACCAGAATGACCCACTTGAGTCACTTCCAGGACTTCCTAAGGGAGGCAGGGCTAGGGTTCCTCCTTTTCCCTCCTCTCTGAAGATCAAAGGAAGCCTGGAAGCGTCGGGGTCCTCCAGGACTCCAGGAGATGGAACACCTGAGGCTTCACCAGGCTAAGTCCAGGCTTAGGGGCAAAACCCGGCCCTGGCCTACCCTCCTCCGACCAGCAGAGGGCGCGCGCCACCCACGAGAAGGAGAGTGCCTCCCCAAGCCACCGCCGGGAGAGGCGGGTGCGGAACCCGGGGCGGGGGATCCCTTTTTCTGAAAATCAGAAGGCAGATCCACAGAAGAGATAGCGTTGGAGATACAGGGGCAGGGGGGCGTTTTGTGAATGAGGGTGAGAGAAAGTCAAAGTGAGGGTAGGCTGGGGAGGGGAGGGGAGGTGGGGAAGGAGACGAACTGGAGACAGGAAAGGTTGAGATGGTGTGTGGATGAGACAGGCTGGGATGGAGGGCGGAGTGGGGTGAGGTGAACGGGCAGGTGGAAGGCAGGGTGAGGCAGGTTGGGGTCGACTGCCCGGCGGTCAGTCGAGTGGGGCTGGTGCAACAGGGCAGTCTCCCTCTTGGGCTGAGCCCACCCACCAGAGGCTCCTCTGTCCCCTCAGGGAGCACCCAAGTCAGCTTTGCCCTCATTCTCTCCAACTCTTCCTTGTAAGGCCTTTCTGCTCAGGCCTGAGCTGGGCATCTCCTTTTCCCCTGAAAGAAAGGTTCTGGTGCATCAAAGAACACAGAGAGGAGGCAGTAGGGAGCTTGGGAGCTTTAATGGGTCTGGAAGGGAATAGAAACACACCAGGCCATCCTGCGTGAGAGAAAAGAGAGAGAGAGAGAGAGGAAGGGGGGCCGGAAGCTACCTAGATGAGCCACAGGGGCAGTGGCCCTCACCAAGTCCGGTGAAGCCCGGGTAGTCAAGGAGCAGGTGGACTGTGAGGCCGCTATCATTCTAGGATGGGGCAGCTCAGCGGGGGAAAGAAAAAACGAGAAAAGATTTGGAATTTGAAAAAGAGGGATCATAATGGAGGGTGCTTCCAGGAGCCAGGCAGAAGTACTGGTGGAGGGCAGAAAAAGACAAGGGAGGTCCGGGAACCCCCTTCGGGGCTCTGGGGCCTAGAAGATAGAGGTTAAAGAAAGCCGGGGGGGGGGGCACAGTCACTCTCCCCCGGGGGCTGAGGGTACAGCGGGGGGCGGGGGCGGTGGCAAATCCAGTGTTAAAAGAAGACGGAGGAGGCTTCAGGTCCCTTCCCTCCCCGCCCCCCGGGGCTGGGTGCGGCGACGGAGTAAAATCTGAGATCAAAGGAACGGTGGGGGAGGCTCCGGGCCCCTTCCCCGGGTGTGGATGGGACCGAGCGAGGCTCCGGGCGCCTGGGAGAGGCCGCACGGCACCCGGCCGCCCCGTCTAGTGGTAGTGGCCCCCCAAGTGCGAGGCGGCGGCCACCGCGCCGAAGGGCCCGGGCGGGGGCTGCAAGCCGGGGCTGGGGTAGAGTGCGGCGGTGGCGGCGGCC